GCCTACTTTCTGGACGAGGGGACAATAGCCCAGAGGCATTGGAACTGGATCCACAACTCCGAACTTGCCTAATTACGCAACTTATGAAATTAATTCAAACGATTTGGTAATTTGTGAGTTAATTGGCAGCAGAAAAATATCATTGAGAGTTGTGTTAAAAACTGCTTCACAAATATCCTTGAAGCAAGTAGATGTACCAAGGTTAGGGTGACTACAGCCGCTCACTTTGCATTTCAGTTTACTGGGAGGTGATCTAACAAGCTCCTCGATTGTCAGAGGATCAGGAATGTGCAATAACCGTGGTTGTACACACCTTGGATCAAAATGCTATTTGAAAACTGCCTCCATTGTCTGAGCGGTTTGTTTGTGGTTGTGAGGAGAACATTCCCAACTTGTCCGAATCCGCCCCCTTCGCAATCCAGACGGGATGATCTGAGCAACTTCCTGAATCCCGGTCTCATTATCTGTACCAGGGGACTCTGTGGCTCGCTCCTCCCGGAGCCCAGGGTGAGGTAACAGAGCTGTTTACGACAGGGTGGGGATCAGTAAATGCTGCAGACACAGACGGAAAGTGGAATCTGTGGCTCGGGGCGTTGGACCTGCCTGTAAATAGAGAAATTGTACTTCAGTGGATGAGGGGACTTCAGCTGTTTCCCTCCAATCTGTTGAGAGGATAATGCACTCCTCAGGCTACAAGGATCTGTGAGTAAATACTGCACTGATTTATTAACCAAATGATCTTGCAGCTTCACGTCTTGCTTTTCACACATCAGCGTTCGTTTCTGCCCTTTTAAAATAACGAATCCTGGAGATGTGGGTGTCAGTAGATTCGAGTCCAGTATTTGTTGCGGATTGTTTCCGAGATCACAGCAGCGATTCGGTGACCTCAGGTATGAGATCCTTCAGGCTGTGTTGATGGAGGTGACCATCCATTCCAGGCTGTGCACAAAGCCCTACTCAGTTTTGTTGACTCTTCTGTTGATCATGGAGTTCTGCAGCTTTTCGGTAAGAGTCTACAGGGGATATAGACAGATGATGGGAGTGGGCATAAAACCTGGCAGATGGAATATAATGTGGGGTCATATACTTTGGCAGGAAGAATAAAAGAGTTGTATTTAATCCATTATTTAAATGGATGTCTTGGGAATCTTGCTAAAACTACACAAGCCATGATTTAGACCACACCTAGAACACGGCAAACAGTTTTGATCCCCTTATTTAAGGAAAGAAAAAAGACACAGAATTGGAGACAGTCCATAGAAGGTTCACAAAGTTGATCCGAAACATCAAAAGATTTTCTTATGATGAAAGGTTGAGTAGGCTGGGCTGTACCCAGTGGATTTTTGAAGAATAAGATGTGACCTTACTGAAAAATATAAGATTCTTAGGGGCTTGACAAGGTGGATGTGGACAGAAAAACAAAGAATTGTTGATGCTGGAAATCGGAAACAAAACCAGAAATTGCTGGAAAAGCTCAGCAGGTCTGCCAGCATCTGTGGAGAGAGATCAGAGTTAACACTTCTGAAGAAGGGTCACTGGACCCAGAATGTTAAATCTGCCTTCTCTCCACACACACTGCTAGGCCTACTGAGTTTGTCCAACAATTTCTGATTTTGCTTTAGATGTGAACAGGCTGTTTCCCCTTATGGGAGAGTCTAGGACCAGAGGGCATAATCTCAGAATAAGGAGTTGCCCAGTTGGGACAGAGATGAGGAGGGGTTTCTTCTCTCAGGGGGTAGTGAATCTGTGGAATTCTTTACTGCAGAGGGCTGTCAAGGCTGAGTCATCAAGTATATTTAAAGATGTGATAGCAGATTTTTAATCAGTAAGGGAATCAAGGATTTTGGGGGAAAAATAGGAAAATTGATTTGAGGATTATCAGATCAGTCATGATGATTATCAGATCAGTCATGATCTCATCGAATGGCACAGCATATGTGATGGGCCAAATGGCCTACTTCTGCTCCTATGTCTTATGGTCTAATCTCATTACAACATCAGAGAGAAAGATTCCTCCCTTTTATCTTACCAATAATCTTACAGACACTCAAACCTCAGTGACCCCTACCTTCAGTCTAAAGCTCTTACCTGGCTGGCACAGCTACAATCAGTTTCCTTTTGGGACATTGCTGTACACTACACTTAATGCTATTTTCTTCAGGTAATGTCTCTCCCCAAGACCCCTAAAACATTGCTAACTCAGCTCACTTTTACTTATCATGCGTTCTGTAACCTTGTATCTTCAATGGCCTTATAAAGATACCATCCACACTGAGACCTCCACAGCCTTTTGCTTCTGGAGCTTTCTTCTCACTGATGTGTCAACATCTCAGGACTTCTCCCTGACCCTCAGTGCTTGGAGACTGCTAAAAGCAGTCACAACCTCCCCCCAAAATGACTTTCTGATTTTCTCTTTACAGAACTGAATAAATAAAGTCCACTTCTCCTTCACTTGTAAACACAGGTTCTCAAACAATAAGAATAGTTTATGAAGCTTCATAACAGGTGTCAGGGAGCCACAATATGGATTAGCTAATGGCAGAGCAGACTCAAGGAGCTGAATGACCTTTTCTTGTTCCTGTATTCCTAAATCCTGGCTGATCTCTACCTTAACTCTATTTACTAGCCTTTGTTCCATATCTACTGTTCTCTAAACCCAACAAAAATCTATCAATCTCAGTTTTGAAGATTTCCTTCCTGTAGTGTACTGCCTAGAACTGGCCATGGTCAGCTAGATGTGAGTGATTAAAATTCTCCATAAATTAATTTCTGTTAATTTCCCTTGGAATAAAGATCACTTTATTCATTGGCCTTTATTTAAATTACTCTTTGCTGCTGTAAGGGATTTCTGTAGTCAGAGGTTGAAACCTCTGCTGCTGCATCATTTCAAATCTCAGGTTAATCCAGTTAATCCTCAGGCCCAAGAAGATTGAGCTCTCACTTGCCTAATTTGATCTTCATCTACTCCAATTGTTCAACCCACCTGCTCCAAAAGATTCCCATTTTTTTCTGCTTTAGACCAGCAGGAGTCTAACTGCTTCTTTAAATTGGAGATCTCCCCAAAGTCTCGGAGTTACTTGATTTTCTCACAACCAAATGGTCTCCCTGTTCCCCATGAAACTGCCTGCCGTTGAGAATGTTGTTGTGACTGTTATGCTCATACATCACCACCACTCCCTCCCCAGCTTGCCCCTGCTTGCTTCAGTTGCCAGGCTATTCACCGTGGATTCTCTCTGTCTGATTGGGGCACTTTGGGAAATATGTATCATTATATCCTTATGGCTGTGACAGTATTTTGATGCTCTATTTTTCAAAGAATAGCTCTGCATGTCTAGAGCTGAAACAGCTGAACATGTGAAATGTTGGGATATTGTGTGATTTTTCTTATTATCCTTCCCTCACTGCCCAGTGTTGTCATTCTTCCTGAATAGAGCTCACTTGCTTACTGGCAATGGATGTGCAGGGCATCAGCAGCAGGAGTGGAACACAGCACAGGCACTCTTCTGCAGACAGAAATTAAACAGACAGTTCACATTGTACACCAGCGATTGTCAATAAACTGCTACAGAGACCAGCCTTGATTTGCATTTCCACAAGGATTCTCCAATGCTAACTCCAGGCAGAGATTTATACATCTCCCCTGGAAATAGTTCAAGTGCCCTCCTGAAACTGGCCATGGACAGAGAGCAATAGCAGGCTATTCAGCTGCTGAGTTTGCTCTCCTGTAATATATGTAACAGACCAGTGATTAGCCATAAATCAAAAGCAGATTGTTTTTGATGTAATAGCCTTCACTTTTCTTCAAAGCCTTCTGTTCTTACTTTCTTGCAGGCCTGCATATAAAGCCCCATGACTTAGAACATAGAACATAGAACATAGAACAGTACAGCACAGTACAGGCCCTTCGGCCCACAATGTTGTACCAAACTTTTACCCTAATCCTAAGGTCTATCTAACCTCCACCCCTACCTTATACTATCATCCACTTGCCTATCTAATAGCCGTTTAAATGCCCCTAATGAGGCAGACTCCACTACCCTCTCCAGCAATGCATTCCAAGCCCTTACCACTCTCTGAGTAAAGAACCTACCTCTGATGTCTCCCCTGTATCTACCTCCACTCACTTTAAAACTATGCCCCCTCATAATAGCAACCTCCACCCTAGGAAAAAGTCTCTGGCTGTCTGCTCTATAATTACTGTGTCACATTCTTGTGGCCACATAAGGAGACATTGAGTATATTTAAGATGGGGATAGTTAGGTTCTTGATTATCAAGGGAATCAAGCGTTACAGGGAGAAAGCGGGAAAATAGGGTTGAGAAACTTATCAGCTATGATTGAATGGTGGAGCAGACTCAATAGGCTGAATGGCCTAATTTCTGCTCGTATGTCTCATGGTCTTATATTAGGGCAGGATACTAAAAGATAACTTAGTCAAAGAGGTGGGTTTTAAGAAGAATCTTAAAGGCAGAAACAGAAATGGAGAGCCGCAGGGAAAGAACTCCGGAGTTTAGTACATTGAGATTCGAAAGCATGGACAATGGTGGGAGGTTGGGAGGTTGTAGAACTGAAGTGAATGACAAGGTAGGGAGAGGTGGTAGTTTCCATACAGGAGATTTCCTTAGCACTGTGTCTGTGAGACATTTGGGAGCCCATCATTCACAAATTATCCACAGCATTCTGTTGTGAATTGGTCACTCAAACGACACAACATGAAAGACATCTTGTGGAACTGTTAAATTATACAATGATTATGCATTGATATTCGACATGCTGTGGAGGGAAAATTCCGAGCGAATGAGGTTTTTCTGTGGTTAGAAGTTCGTTGTACTAGGAACTACGGGCTAAGTTATTTCCCTTGCTATTTGACAATACACGTTCAGTGATCAACTGTACTCGCCCACAGGAAAGGAAACTATTTCATTATCTCAGTGTCACTTCCCAGAATGGTGTTTTAGTCACATGGTACAATAACAGCCTCCCATACAGGCCTCTGTCGTCTGACTCTGGGCAGCATAGTGACTGGGTGCTTATTTCCAGACTGCAGTACTTCATGGGGATGTGCAAGACCACTGGCCTGCTCTGTCTTCAATCTCAACCAAACACTCCAAATAGAAAAGGGCGACAATTGGTCAGAGGTAGGGGTTTCTGAATTCACCTCTTGACTGGTTTGCACATCAAGTGAGTGAAAAGTGCTTGGAAGAGTCTGAACTGTGAACTGCTTTTAACAAGTTGTAAGAAGGAAGCAGGTGCAAGGGGCTTGAAGCTCACACTGTGCAACACGACAGAGTCTGTTCCGAGAACTCAGCTTGCTTTCTTATTCCACGAGCAGGACTCTTTCTGAGGGCTGTCTTGGTGAGTGACCAACATTTCCTGTTCTATTAACAGCTATAGTTCACACTGAGAAAAGATGTATTTTAATGTGTTTCATTTTAGAAATAGATCCTAATCTTAGCTCTGGCTGGTTGTCGGTGTGATGCAAAGACTTTTAAATGGTCAACTTAACTGAAAAATATTGAAGCATATTTTGCAATAGACTGGTTTAACAAATGCATAGTAATAATATCAGATGCTAACAGCATCTTCATCTGGAGAATCTGTCTTCCTAAGCATTAACTTCAGTCATCCGAATAAATCACTTGAAGGTACACAGACAGTGAAGTGTGTGAGAAAACACTTTCACAATTGTATCTTGTTTTATGACTGTTTCAATTTGAATTGAGTAGGAGGACATTGTTCATTCTTCTGATGGATAAGAGGCGGAATTTATTTTACAACCCTAATTGTCCTGGGAAGATGATAAGAGACGACACAGTGTAGAGCTGGATGAACACAGCAGGCCAGGCAGTATCAAAGGAGCAGGAAAGTTGACGTTTTGGTTCGGGACCCTTCTTCAGAAATGGGGCCAGAAATGTCAACTTTTCTGTTCCTCTGATGCTGCCTGGCCTGCTGTGTTCATCCAGCTCCACACTGTGTTATCTCTGACAGCATTGGCAATTCTTACTGTCTCTGCCCTGGGAAGATGATGTGATCCTCTGTTTGAACTGCTTGTAGTCAGTGTGGAATGATGCTCCCACAGTGATGTTGGTTAGAGAGTTCCAAGAGGTTGATGATGTTGACAGTGGAATGTTGGTGTATGTCTTTCACCAGATATTCACTCTTTAGTACACCACCTCCAGATTAACTTTTAAAGGAGCTCTGTCCTTTTAGTGAAGTGTTTAGATAATTAGGTCTTGTTATTTCCAGGCTGTTCTTTGTAAAGCCTGAGTGCCAAAGCTGCAGTTTTGGTGTTAGTGGGTGAGGGGGAGATGGAGACTCAGCCAATACTCCAGACACCCTGCTCCTGATGTCCCCAAGGAAGCTGCACATACCCTGCCAGTGAGGATGGTTCTGGTTGCTCAGACCATTTACCCAGCTCCCAGAAGGCAAGGTAATGGAAAAGTTTACTTTCATAACACAATCTCTGAATATTCCAGAGCCAACAAAGCAATTTTGAAATGTAGTCACAGTTGTAATGTAGAAAACAGGATAGCAATGTATCTACAGCAGCTCCCAGAAACATCAAATGGAAACATGACCAAATCACCTGTCTTTGTTGTTGATTGAGGGGAGGGAATATCCTGGAATACACCCACCTAAACAGACAGGCATGATTTAATATCTCATCTGAATAATGACAATTCCAACAGGCACAGCAGTCCCTCAGTATTGTGTGAAAGTAAGCATCAGTTTGGATTATGGGCTACAGGCCTCTGGAATGTGACAAACCCACAACTTCAGTATCAAAGATTATCGATAAACTGTCCAAAACTTAAAGAAGGTGCAGAACACAAAAGGAACTTTCTAAATACTGAAAAGAGATTAAATAGAAATAGGCTCAGTGGTTAGCACTGCTGCATCACAGTGGAAGGGATCTGGGTTCGATTCCAGTCTCGGCTGACTGTCTGTGTGGAGTTTGCACATTCTCCCCGTCTCTGTGTGTGTGCTCCGGTTTCCTCCCACAGTCCAAGGATGTACAGGCTAGGTGGATTAGTTGTGGGAAATGCAAAGTTACAGGGATAGGGTAGGGATGTGAGTTTAGGCGGGATGCTCTCCAGAGGGGCTGTGTGGACTCTATGGGCTGAATGGCCGTTTTCCACACTGTAGGGATTCTGTATTCAAACAGGGAAGTAATCATCTCTCTCTAAACTGGTTCCTCTTATTAACCAAAGGTAATAAGTGGGTCAGTTCCCACACTGGGATCTTGTACATTAGCTCATTTGGGTAATAACGCCTGGATACAGCTGGTGTGGATTTAACTGTGTGGGAGGGGGACTAAAGTAGGTGGTATCCCAGACCAAGAAATTTGAATCAGTGAATTATTCTGAAACTCATGCTTAAAAATTCAATTAAGCTGTTTAGAATGTCCCATTTCTTCTTTAGCCCCTGAAATAACTGATTGCAATCATATAAACACTAGGTCCCTGTATTTTCATAAATCAGCAGTTTTCAATCAGGAAACTAGATCAGAATCTGCTTAAAGGACCATGAACGATGCTAGAGGTGTGTGATAACAGGCTGGAGAAGTTTGTGTCCCATTTCTTACTGGTGGCAGCAGTCCAGTTTTCCCAGGACCAATGACACTAATTAACGAATACAGTGAGATGAATTTGGTGAATGGGAGCGACTTGTTGTGTTTGTAACTCACTGGGGCAGATTTAGTCAAATACATTTAGAACGGTTGCTAAAATGTTGTTTCAAATCTTGTGGTATTGGATTTGATTTCAAACCAGGATAGAAAACTCAGTGTGAGCAAGGGCTTTTCCTAATTGGCTATATTTTCCATAAAGTGCTGTTGCTTATAAATAGGTAAACACGCCCCGAGACTTTCAGTACATTTACACTGGAGTTGAATTTGTGGTGACATAAGCAGGCAGGGCATGGCCTCTGGTTCATTGCACCTTGTGGGGTTTATCGACAGTGAGAAGAGGAGCCAGCATTGCTGAGTACTGTCACTGCCCAATTCTCATTTTCCTCCATTTCATTCATGGAATGCGGTAAAACTTGAATTCCCGTCTTTAGAGTTACTTCAAAGTTGACTAAAAGTTACTTCAGCAGCATCTGCCCAGCAGGAGGTGAGTCATTCTTTTGGGGAGCTAAATGTTAGTGGGAGAGCAAAGTAAAACCAGAATGAGGAACACTTGTCTGGAGAGAGGGAGAAACAGCAGTCCCTGCTTTCTCTCCTGCCTATAGCGTCTTCTTCCCTGTCCCTCCCTCTCCCTATCCCTCCCTCTGTCTTCTCTCCCTGTCCCTCTCTCTCCCTGTCCCTCCCTCTCCCTGTCCCTGTCCCTCCCTCTCTCTTCTCTCCCTGTCCCTCCCTCTCCCTGTCCCTCCCTCTCTCCCTGTCCCTCCCTTTCTCTTCTCTCCCTGTCCCTCCCTATCTCTTCTCTCCCTGTCCCTCTGTCTCTCCCCATCCCTCCGTCTCCCTGTCCCTGTCCCTCCCTCTCCCTGTCCCTCCCTCTCTCTTCTCTCCCTGTCCCTCCCTATCTCTTCTCTCCCTGTCCCTCTGTCTCTCCCCATCCCTCC